TACAATCTTTGTGTACTGTGTAATATGAAGAACATTTAAATAATAGGAATACACTCATCCCACTCATCTGTGATGTATGTACATGCTTGTGTGTGTGAGGGTACTTGTGTGTGCATGTGCGTGTGTGTGTGTGTGTTTGCGCGCGCGCGTTTGTGTATTTGTGTCGTAGGCATATTGTTTGAAATAAATTTAAATAGAATATTTGTATGAAAGTTCTTTTTTCGTCTTTTATGTATAGCGGGGCACGTTGAGGCACTGCTGGTTGGAGGGAATGGGGGCTTTTTATAGGTTTGCTGCATTGTCATCACTGCATGCCTAGTTTATCCAGGAGGTAACATAATAATCTTAGTTTTTGCAGTCAGATTGCATTGTTCTGTTGTGAGCGAAAGATACGTGTTTTTGAGTATTAATTGTAAATTTCAATTTGCTATAAGGTAAACTGAATTAATTATTTTATTATGATTGTAGAAATTTTTAATAGATTTATTACTGAATGATAGTCTATATAGTTGTGTTTAATTTTCACAGTTTGTATTTTTACACAATAAGCAATTTAGTTCGGTTTAACTTTGTTACCTTTGAAAACTGCTGTTGGGGCACTTTGAGACAAATAACTATGGAGTAGGTTGAGATATAAAACTTTTTGGAGTAAAATGAGACACCTTTAAAGATAACTGTATTTTATAAGCTGATGTCTTGTCTTAGATCTGTTGCTTATTGAAAATGGTCAGATAACGGAAAAAACCTCAAGTGAAAGATAATTTTGATGCCGGCACACTGTTTTTTTATCATGATGTTTTTTTATGTTTTAATATTGTTCCTGTGTAAAGGTTAAAGCGAGAGGAGAAGGGTAGCATTGTGGAGGTTTGGGTAACGTTCCTAAGAAAAAACGCCAACCTTGCGGGGATAAGCAATAAAGATAGTTTTAGTTTTGTTCCTATCGAATATATATTCATAAATAAATAACACAAATTATTATTGATATGTCTCATTGTGTCTCACATTGTTTTAATCCTCTCTACTGGAGAGGACCAGTGGGGCAGGTTGAGACACTTTTTAAAAATTGATTTTTTTTAATTATTTAAGAAGTAAAATACGCTAACCAATAAATTTATTAAAATTTCAAAATTTAAGTAAATCTGTGTTGAAAATCACTTTAAAAAAAATTTTAGCACTGATATTTAAAGAAATACAGCGAGTTGAATTTTAGGTGTCTCAACGTGCCCCACTTTTCCCTACTTAAGTTTATAATATATGACAATATTTTAAGTTTAGCGAACAATATTAGTTTATGCAAATCAATGTAACGGGAATGTTTATTTATCTTTAATACTCAATAAAAAGAAACTCACACAAAGTGGGTGTGGTGTGCAATCAAAACTCTATATCTAACAATTTAAGTAAAATACCTGATGACTCTCCAATGATGCTTCACGACGGCCGCAAGTCTTTGGTCTGCTAAATGATTATTCTTCTTTTCGGTGAGTTCATTTAACCACGTATGCATTACATTCAGTTGACCGCAAGCATGCATCGCGAAGACGGCAATGAGACTGCAAACAGTTGCTATAGAGGAAATCATTATAAACGTCGACAAGTATTGCACACCCAGCATGATCTCGTTCGCAGGGCTGAATCTCACATCAAGTATCCTGCTGTACATTGGACATGTCATCGGATGTATCGTAATAGTTTTGTTGTCGATGATAACGGTTCTTGTTTCCATCGCCTTGACTACGTTAAAGATGAACGTACTACCATGTAGAAACGTCGCGCACAAAACGGTCATGAAGCGGCCGGACTTAGCATATTGCAGCATCACTTTGCGATTATCGATTCGAACGAGTTTCCAATCCGTCTCCATATGCCGTATGCAACGTTCAATGTCTTTGTTACGCGTAATTAATATCCAGTAATTTACTGTTCCCAATATTCTGTTAATCAGCGGAATGAGGTCGTTTAATTTAGTCTTAACGTCTTTTTTCTCGAATCCCATGTACAACAGGCATGGTATCAAAATGATTGCCAACGCGGTCGAAAAAATTAAGATTTGCATTGACACCGCGAGTTTTTTTATTCTATTCGACGCGCTCGTTTGCGGCCAAGCACCTAGTGATATGAGAAACCATCGATTTATTCGTGTACCATAGTCATTGAGATTCTCGTTATCTGTTATGTGTTTTGGATCGCTCATGATCGTTTCATAGAGACGACCGATACGTTACTGCAATAATCATCTAAACTTTTGCTTAGCCGTAGCTTAACTAGAGACACGCATAAATACGCTTGCGCCAGCTTTAACAATGTTTTGTGACGGGTCGATAGCTTTGCCCGAAGGAGAGCGCACGCTCGTATCCAATCAATAATCTTTCTTTCCACGAAGCCTGCCTGTCAGTTTGACAGGAGATCGCGTTCAGTGAACAGTGTGAAAATATTTTTTCGAAAGTGACAACGAACTCTTGACTTTTCGTTATTTTGTATC